ACTGCCGGCCACGACATGGTGAGTGTGTTGGGTGGGGTGGGGTGGTGTGCGGTGCAGGGGGGAAATGCGCATGGAGGTGGGGGGGAATGAGCTTTGCTTGCTTATGCTGCGGCTCTTATTGCAGTGCTTGCTGCTATCATCACCCCCCTGCCCTGCCCCTCATAGCACCTCCCCTGACCCGCATTTCCTCTTCTCCTCTCGTCCTCCTCTCTCTCCCGCCCCTCCCCCCCGTGGACCTTGCACAGGTGCCACTACGAATTGCAGGTGCGATAAAGATTCCCCGTACCGTAGTAATGTCTAGAAATGTTCACAAAAAATGCATCAAACTTACTTAGGTGCTGTTTAGGATTATGTTATGTTTCTGTGGTAGATAATGTTAGGTGGTGTTTGTTGGTTATGGTAGGTATTGAGGCCCGGGGCAGAGATGTGAGGCCCGGGGCAGAGATGTGAGGCCCGGGGCAGAGATGTGAGGCCCGGGGCAGAGATGTGAGGCCCGGGGCAGAGACGTGAGGCCCGGGGCAGAGACGTGAGGCCCGGGGCAGAGATGTGAGGCCCGGGGCAGAGATGTGAGGCCCTGGGCAGAGACGTGAGGCCGGGGCAGAGATGTGAGGCCCGGGGCAGAGACGTGAGGCCCGGGGCAGAGACGTGAGGCAGCCCATACCCGAACCGGACCCAGGCCCTACCTCAACCCAGGTCCTGCTGACGTGGCAACAAGTGCTGACGTGGCATGCTCTCTTGACAGGAGGCTGGCCATGCCGCCCTGAACTTGGTTATAGTCACGCCGACCGCGAGTCGAGTCGCCTTCATTACAGTCAATCCCGGGTCGAGTCGCATTCATTACAGTCACCCCCGAGTCGAGTCGCCTTCATTGCAGTCACCCCCGAGTCGAGTCGCCTTCATTGCAGTCACCCCCGAGTCGAGTCGCCTTCATTGCAGTCACCCCCGAGTCGAGTCGCCTTCATTGCAGTAACCCCCGGGTCGAGTCGCCTTCATTACAGCCACCTTCATTACAGTCACAGTCACAAAGCCTGGTTGGCTGATTCTAGCTTGAATTTGAGAGAATATTCCGTGATTCTTGATTGTGATATTATTTCAATACATACATCAGAATGTTATTCCTTTCCTCCCACCCTCCCGTCCCCCCTGTCCCCTCTCCCCCACCCTCCATCCCCCCCCGGGTGGGGGGGAGGGGGGGGGGGGACTTGGGGGACTTGGGGGGGCGAGGGAAAAAAAAAAAGACTAAACCGAATTCCCTCTTCCTTTTTTCCTCCCCTGCTTCAATCTCTCCCTCATCCCTCCTCCCCGCCTTCCCACTATATCTCTCTGCCTTTCTCTGCCTTGTTCTCCCTCCTTCTTTCTCCCCCCTCTGCCTCCCGTTTCCACCTCTCCCCTGACCTGACCCGCACCACCTTTCCAGTGGAGGACAGCAAGATCGACATCGGCGACTTTTTTCAAGGGCGATTTACCCAAGAAATTCCTCATGCTCCTGGGTCTGCTCGCGCTATCCCGCGTGGGAATCTACATTCCCCTGTGGGGCGTCGATATCTCCGCCTTCCAGGAGCAACTGGGGGAGGGCTCATTCCTGGCCACCCTAGACACGCTCTTCAGGGGGCGGGATTGGACGGCTGGGATTGTTTTCGCTGGGCATCGTGCCGTATATCAACGCTCAGATCGTGTTCCAGCTGCTGGGGACGCTGTACCCTAAGATTGGGGATCTGCAGAAGAAGGAGGGGGAGGGCGGGGAGGAAGAAAGCGCAGCAGTACATGAAGTATATGGCTGTGGCGTTCGGTGCCCTGCAGGTACGTTACCTGATTTCATTACATTCTTCTTGTCTTTACTAGATTACGAGCGCCTCGGGTCCGTAGCAGTCATCGTGCGGGGAGACAAGATCACCGACCCACCTCAAGCTCTCCTTCTCCCTGCCCCCCTCCACTGCCAACAGGCTATCGGCCAAGTGGCCTACCTCCAGCAGTACGCATACGACCACTCAGTCGCCCCTCCTCAACCCAACCCCACCGCTTCCCACCCTATTCTTCCCCCTCCACTCCCCAGGCCATAGGCCAAGTGGCCTACCTCCAGTTGTACGCATACGACCCCTCAGTCGCCCCACTGCGGGGAGACAAGATCACCGACCCACCTCAAGCTCTCCTTCTCCCTGCCCCCCTCCACTCCCCAGGCTATCGGCCAAGTGGCCTACCTGCAGCAGTACGCATACGACCCATCAGTCGCTTGGGCAGTCTCAGCCGTCTCAGGCCTGACTGTCGGATCCGTGGCAGTCATCCTCCTGGGAGACAGGATCACCCACCTCAAGCTCTCCCTTCCTCCCTGCCTCTCGCCCTCCCTCCGCAAATCGGACAGGTGGCATATCTGCAGCAGTACGCCTACGACCCCTCGGTCGCCTGGGCAGTCTCAGCCGTCTCAGGCCTGACTGTCGGATCCGTGGCAGTCATCCTCCTGGGAGACAGGATCACCCACCTCAAGCTCTCCCTTCCTCCCTGCCTCTCGCCCTCCTCCCAGGCTATCGGACAGGTGGCATATCTACAGCAGTACGCCTACGACCCGTCGGTCGCCTGGGCAGTCTCCGCCGTCTCGGGCCTCACTTTGGGATCCGTGGCAGTCATCCTGCTGGGAGACAAGATCACTGATCTCAAGCTCGGCAACGGCACCTCTCTGCTCATCTTCACCAATATCGTTTCCTACCTGCCGGCGTCCATTGGGAGGACGATCACAGAGGCTTCTGAACAAGGGAATGTGACCGGAGAGGCGCTGCTGCTCGCGTCCTTCCTGCTGCTCGTGTTCGGCATCGTCTACGTGCAGGTGGGTGCGGTACAGATGGGTGTGGATGGGTGTGCTATATTCCTCCTGCCTGCCTACCTGCATCACAGAGGCGTCTGAGCAGGGGAACGTTACCGGCGAGGCGCTGCTGCTGGCCTCCTTCCTGCTGCTCGTCCTTGGGATTGTCTACGTGCAGGTGGGTGTGAATGGGTGCAGGTGGGTTCCTGCTCTATGCCTCTCTGCCGGCCTGCCTGCCAGCCTTCTGAGCAGAAGGCGGGGAGTCGCATTCCCAACAACTATGTGCCGCTACAACCAGCTCCAACTTCCCCCTTCCCTCCGAGTAGGAGGCAGAGTGTCACATCCCCATCAACTACGCATAACGGTACAAACCAACCCCATGCACCATCTCACCCTCTACTCTCTTCTACCCTCTCCTCCCCTTCCCCTCCCACCCTCTACCCTATCCACTACCCCTTTCCCTCCAAGCAGGAAGCAGAGCGGCGTATTCCCGTCAACTATGTGTCTCGATACAACCAATTCAAATTCCCCGTCCTCTTTTCTCCGTTCTTCCCACTCCCCCTACCACCCCCACCACCCCCACCACCACCACAACTTAATCCCTTCCACCGAGCAGGAGGCAGAGCGGCGTATTCCAATCAACTATGCGTCTCGGTAACACATCAAGACGCGGAATGCGTACCTGCCATTCAAAGGTAACACCTCCCCCTGAAAGGCAACACCTCCCCCTGAAAGGCAGCACCTCCCTCTGGAAGGTTACACCTCCCCCTGAAAGGCAGCACCTCCCCCTGGAAGGTAACACCTCCCCCTCGAAGGTAGCATCTCTCCCGCGAATGTAACACACCGCTTTCTTTTTTCTTGCATCGACCCCTCACTCACTCACCCTTCCCCCCCCCCCCCCCACCAACCCCCACACTCAACTCAACAGAAGCCATGCCTCACGTTTACTCCTCTCTTCTCAATTATCTGCCGTTCCTTTCTCTCTCATCTACCCATTCTCTCCAACCACCCCTCTCTCACAACCACCTCTTTTCTCTTATCCAACCTCTAATCCCCCCCGCAGGTCAACTCAACGAAAGTCATGCCAATCGTCTTCTCCTCCTCTCTCCTTTCGTCTTTCTTATGTTCCACCCTCTCGGATCAACATCTTTCTCATCTACCCTCTACCCGTCTCTTCCTCTTCCCCCCTCTGCAGGTCAACTCAACGGAGTCATGCCAATTATCTTCTCTTCCTCGCTCCTCGCTGCTCCCTACTCCATCGCTCGCTTTACCGGAAGTGCTGCTTTCCAGTCCGCTGCTACAGCTCTCTACCCTGGAGGTATGTTACATGGTAACCACAGGTCAGTAATAGGGTAACCAGACTGCTCCTGCTCCCTACTCCATAGCTCGCTTTACCGATCTATCTGCCTGCCAACGTGGCACTGATCGCTTTCTTCAACTACTTCTACACCTTACTGCAAATTTATCACTCTGCTTTTCCGTCATCCTCTCACTCTTTTTACCACCATGTGTTCCACTAATCCCCAGGTCTCCTCTACCCGCCTGCCAACGTGGCACTCATCGCATTCTTCAACTACTTCTACACCTTCCTGCAACTCACTCACTCCTCTCCCTGCTCCCTCTCCCTCCTCCACTCCCTTTGATTTCCCTGCTCCACTCATCCCCAGGGTTTCTTCTACCTCCCCGCCAACGTGGCACTGATTGCATTCTTCAACTACTTCCACACCTTCCTGCAACTCACTTACTCGCTCCTTCTCCTTTCTTTCTCCTTGCATCTTCAATCAACATCCTCTCTCCCCATGTGTTCCGCTAATCTCCAGGTTTCTTCTATCTGCCTGCTAACGTGGCACTGTTCGCCTTTCTCAACTACTTCCACACCTTCCTGCAACTCACTTACTCGCTCCTTCTCCTTTCTTTCTCCTTGCATCTTCAATCAACATCCTCTCTCCCCATGTGTTCCGCTAATCTCCAGGTTTCTTCTATCTGCCTGCTAACGTGGCACTGTTCGCCTTTCTCAACTACTTCTACACCTTCCTGCAACTCACTTACTCGCCTCCTTCTCCTTTCTTTCTCCTTGCATCTTCAATCAACATCCTCTCTCCCCATGTGTTCCGCTAATCCCCAGGTTTCTTCTACCTCCCCGCCAACGTGGCACTCATTGCCTTCTTCAACTACTTCTACACCTTCCTGCAACTCGACCCTGCTGATGTCAGCGACCAGCTCAAGCGGCAGGGTGCGTCCGTACCCAACACGAAGGCCCGGCAAAGCAACAGCCGCACTCATCACCAAGGTGAGTCGCCCTTGTTCACTTCATTGTACGTTCGTAAATCCGGCATACGGCCCACTTTTCTCAAGAGGCAGGGCGCGTCTGTGGCCTACACCAGGCCTGGCAAGGCAGCAGCCATGCTCATCACCAAGCTCCGGTTTGGCCTCGCAAACACTCCATGATGACTCCTGGCCGGCTCCCTCTCAGCCCTTTCCCCACTCGTGTTTCCTTTCCCTCTTTGGCTTCTCCTTCCCCCTCCCATCCCCTTCTCCCCTTTCTCCCCATTACTCTTGCTTCTTTAACTACTTAACACCAGGTCCTCACCCGCATTTCGGTGCTCGGGTCGGCGTTTCTCGGCACGATGGCAGCAGCGCCGGCTCTTGTGGAAGGAATCACTCACCTCACGGCCTTCCGGGGGTTTGCTGGAACGTCCATCCTCATTTTAGTCGGATGCGCTACCGATACAGCCAGGAAGGTGCAGGCGGAGCTGGTTTCGCAGAAGTATAGGACGATTGAGCTGGATGATATCAGTGCGGGTGGTGGAGGGGATTCCGCCTCCTAGGTGAATGCTGAGGCTGGATATTTAGAGTAGAGCAGCATCGGTGTGCACAAGGTATCGTATAAAGTACCTTGTGGCTTCGTGTTGATGTGAAACTAGGTTCAAGCAACTGCATGATAGAGTGTTACACACTTGCATCGTGACGACCAAGGTTTCTGTGTTGAATGACATCAATGTCAAGCGCATGGAGTGGTGCGTTACTGAATTAGATTGCTTCAAGCTTTTGAGTCTCTGTGTTTGTATCGGGCCATCGCTTGGTTGGCACGATTGCAGGCCAGGCCCTGTTGCGTGTCGATTTGAGATGGTGTCATTATCTGCAACGTCAGTCTTTTCATCAACTCCACAATGAGTGTGACACAAGGAAGCATCTTCCTGACACATCCCTGATACATCCAATCGTGTTTACCGCGTACAGACGAAGCCGGAACACGCCCTCCGCAGATGCCCCTTTCTCGTAGGTTAGCCAGGAGTAGTAAACTATCTACAAATTAGCTACGGTAGTTAGGATTTGGTTGACTAGGAATTACGGCAGCTAGCTAGGGATTAGCTTGCTAGGATGTGGCTGGCTAGGAACTAGTTACCAGCTATGATTTGGCTGGCTAGGAATTAACTAGCTACTAGCTAGGAAATAGCAAGCTAGGAATTGGCTAGGAGTTAGCAAGGAGTTGGCAGGCCAGAAATTGGCTAGCTAGGAATTGGCAAGGCCAGGCTATAACTAGCCAGGAATTAGGTAGCTAGCAAATAGATAGCTAAAAAATAGGTAGCTAGGAACTAGCTAGCCTAAGATTTTGCTGCAGATGTACCAACCAACACCAGGGTCAGCCCACTTGTTTTCTGGAATATTTGCTTATAACAATGCATGCATCGTGAAGGAAAACATAAACCAGGAAAATGCAAACTTACATTCTTATCAATCTATTCCCATGTACATGGGAATAGATTGATAAGAAAGTAAGTTTGCAGGCACCAGGCGGATCGCGCAGCGCGCCAGCGCTGCACCAATGACTGTATATTGGATTGTACATCATCCGAGTCTCGTTTCTGTCACTTCCCAGACCGCGCTAGCTGGCATGGCTTGTGCTGTTTGATTGGACCGGTGGGATGTTTCGCGACTTGTGTTTAGCGACTTGATTTGGATTGGAGGCTTGTGTTGTGCTCCGCGACTTGGTTTGCAATGTGTGTGAATTCTGAGATTTGGTCCCCACCATCGTTTTTTTGGTGCAGGGCAGGTGGATTCCTAGGTGTACACTCTTATTTTCGTTTTAGGTTTACATGTTCCAGGGTGAGGAGTGTTCCTTTTTTGTATGAAGAGTTGCAATTCGTTTCTGTTTTGGTGACCGAGGCGAGGGTGCTGGTCATTTCGCGCTACAGTGGCGAGAGTCAACAAAATCTGCTTGCTTGCTCTCCTCTCCAACTCCTCTCCCGATCTCCTCCACTCCTCCTTCCTTGCTTCTCTCCCAATCCCATCCCCATCCCATTTCGATCTCAACTCCATTATTTTCCACGTTACTTTCCATAGCTCCGCTCTCCCCGATCCACTCATTCTCTCCCATATCGGTCGCAGCTCATCTCCTAATTTCGTCTCCCACGTTAGTCTCCGTTTTTCCGCTCTCCCGATCTCCATTCCTTCTCTCCCATCTCGATCAGTGGTCTTAAATGCCTTCCCCACGTTAGACTTCGAATTCCTTCCCCCATGGGATTCAACATAGGCGGCGGATCCCTCCGCACTGTGGGAGGGCCCTTATTCCTCCCTCCAGCAGGTGCGCACTGTCACTGCATGTGCGCACGCTGAAATTTCATGAGCACGCGATTGCATGTGCGCCATGCGACTGCATGTGTGCCATGCGCCATGCAAAATCCGTTTTGTTCTACTGTTTTATTACTTTATTTCGTTTTGTCCTCTTTATCTGTTTTTCTCCCTGGAATTCCCGTTATGTTTCCCATTTCTCTCCTACGTGAGCATTCTTTCCAAACAGTTCACTTCAGTCCTCAACCCCTCTTGCCTTTCTTGGTTTCTCGTTGCTCTCTCCCTCCGTCCCTTCCTCCGCTCTCCCTCTGCCCCTCCCTCCCCTTGCTGTGCAGGGACGACAGGCTCCAGCGTAGCAGCGCCTACCCGCCGCCGCTCCACCCGCCGTGACGGCGCCCCACCGCGCTCACCAGGTAGCGCCGCGCGCGCTGCTGGCCGCGCCGCGGACAGCACCGGCGAGCATGCTGCACGCGGAGCAGGTCAGCGCGCCGTTCCCCCCTTTTCCCATGCCTTTCCGCCTTGCGCATGCATGTCCGCCTTTCCCCTGCCTTTCCGCCTTGCCCATGCATTTCCGCCTTCCCCATGCCTTTCCGCCTTCCCCATGCCTTTCCGCCTTGCGCATGCCTTTCCGCCTTGCGCATGCCTTTCCGCCTTGCGCATGCCTTTTCCGCCTTTCCCATGCATTCCCGCCTTGCGCATGCCTTTCCCCCTCTGCTCATGCCGTTCTCCCTGCCCATGCCTTTCCCCCTCTGCTCATGCCGTTCTCCCTGCCCATGCCTTTCCCCCTCTGCTCATGCGTTTGCCCCCCTTTGCCCTATGCTTTTGCCCCGTTTGCTCGTGCCGTCCGTTCCCGCCATGTCAGGGAGATGGCGGGGGAGGGAGTCGCCACCTCCATCGAGCTCACCAACTGCCGGCCACGACATGGTGAGTGTGTTGGGTGGGGTGGGGTGGTGTGCGGTGCAGGGGGGAAATGCGCATGGAGGTGGGGGGGAATGAGCTTTGCTTGCTTATGCTTGCGGCTCTTATTGCAGTGCTTGCTGCTATCATCACCCCCCTGCCCTGCCCCTCATAGCACCTCCCCTGACCCGCATTTCCTCTTCTCCTCTCGTCCTCCTCTCTCTCCCGCCCCTCCCCCCCGTGGACCTTGCACAGGTGCCACTACGAATTGCAGGTGCGATAAAGATTCCCCGTACCGTAGTAATGTCTAGAAATGTTCACAAAAAATGCATCAAACTTACTTAGGTGCTGTTTAGGATTATGTTATGTTTCTGTGGTAGATAATGTTAGGTGGTGTTGTTGGTTATGGTAGGTATTGAGGCCCGGGGCAGAGATGTGAGGCCCGGGGCAGAGATGTGAGGCCCGGGGCAGAGATGTGAGGCCCGGGGCAGAGATGTGAGGCCCGGGGCAGAGACGTGAGGCCCGGGGCAGAGACGTGAGGCCCGGGCAGAGTGTGAGGCCGGGCAGAGATGTGAGGCCCGGGGCAGAGACGTGAGGCCCGGGGCAGAGATGTGAGGCCCGGGGCAGAGACGTGAGGCCCGGGGCAGAGACGTGAGGCAGCCCATACCCGAACCGGACCCAGGCCCTACCTCAACCCAGGTCCCTGCTGACGTGGCAACAAGTGCTGACGTGGCATGCTCTCTTGACAGGAGGCTGGCCATGCCGCCCTGAACTTGGTTATAGTCACGCCGACCGCGAGTCGAGTCGCCTTCATTACAGTCAATCCCGGGTCGAGTCGCATTCATTACAGTCAACCCCCGAGTCGAGTCGCCTTCATTGCAGTCACCCCCGAGTCGAGTCGCCTTCATTGCAGTCACCCCCGAGTCGAGTCGCCTTCATTGCAGTCACCCCCGAGTCGAGTCGCCTTCATTGCAGTAACCCCCGGGTCGAGTCGCCTTCATTACAGCCACCTTCATTACAGTCACAGGCACAAAGCCTGGTTGGCTGATTCTAGCTTGAATTTGAGAGAATATTCCGTGATTCTTGATTGTGATATTATTTCAATACATACATCAGAATGTTATTCCTTTCCTCCCACCCTCCCGTCCCCCCTGTCCCCTCTCCCCCACCCTCCATCCCCCCCCGGGTGGGGGGGAGGGGGGGGGGGACTTGGGGGACTTGGGGGGGCGAGGGAAAAAAAAAAGACTAAACCGAATTCCCTCTTCCTTTTTTCCCTCCCCTGCTTCAATCTCTCCCTCATCCCTCCCTCCCCGCCTTCCCACTATATCTCTCTGCCTTTCTCTGCCTTGTTCTCCCTCCTCTTTCTCCCCCCCTCTGCCTCCCGTTTCCACCTCTCCCCTGACCTGACCCGCACCACCTTTCCAGTGGAGGACAGCAAGATCGACATCGGCGACTTTTTTCAAGGGCGATTTACCCAAGAAATTCCTCATGCTCCTGGGTCTGCTCGCGCTATCCCGCGTGGGAATCTACATTCCCCTGTGGGGCGTCGATATCTCCGCCTTCCAGGAGCAACTGGGGGAGGGCTCATTCCTGGCCACCCTAGACACGCTCTCAGGGGGCGGGATTGGACGGCTGGGATTGTTTTCGCTGGGCATCGTGCCGTATATCAACGCTCAGATCGTGTTCCAGCTGCTGGGACGCTGTACCCTAAGATTGGGGATCTGCAGAAGAAAGGAGGGGGAGGGCGGGGAGGAAGAAAGCGCAGCAGTACATGAAGTATATGGCTGTGGCGTTCGGGTGCCCTGCAGGTACGTTACCTGATTTCATTACATTCCTTCTTGTCTTTACTAGATTACGAGCGCCTCGGGTCCGTAGCAGTCATCGTGCGGGGAGACAAGATCACCGACCCACCTCAAGCTCTCCTTCTCCCTGCCCCCCTCCACTGCCAACAGGCTATCGGCCAAGTGGCCTACCTCCAGCAGTACGCATACGACCACTCAGTCGCCCCTCCTCAACCCAACCCCACCGCTTCCCACCTATTCTTCCCCCTCCACTCCCCAGGCCATAGGCCAAGTGGCCTACCTCCAGTTGTACGCATACGACCCCTCAGTCCGCCCCACTGCGGGGAGACAAGATCACCGACCCACCTCAAGCTCTCCTTCTCCCTGCCCCCCTCCACTCCCCCAGGCTATCGGCCAAGTGGCCTACCTGCAGCAGTACGCATACGAGCCCATCAGTCGCTTGGGCAGTCTCAGCCGTCTCAGGCCTGACTGTCGGATCCGTGGCCAGTCATCCTCCTGGGAGACAGGATCACCCACCTCAAGCTCTCCCTTCCTCCCTGCCTCTCGCCCTCCTCCCAGGGCAATCGGACAGGTGGCATATCTGCAGCAGTACGCCTACGACCCCTCGGTCGCCTGGGCAGTCTCAGCCGTCTCAGGCCTGACTGTCGGATCCGTGGCAGTCATCCTCCTGGGAGACAGATCACCCACCTCAAGCTCTCCCTTCCTCCCTGCCTCTCGCCCTCCTCCCAGGCTATCGGACAGGTGGCATATCTACAGCAGTACGCCTACGACCCGTCGGTCGCCTGGGCAGTCTCCGCCGTCTCGGGCCTCACTTTGGGATCCGTGGCAGTCATCCTGCTGGGAGACAAGATCACTGATCTCAAGCTCGGCAACGGCACCTCTCTGCCTCATCTTCACCAATATCGTTTCCTACCTGCCGGCGTCCATTGGGAGGACGATCACAGAGGCTTCTGAACAAGGGAATGTGACCGGAGAGGCGCTGCTGCTCGCGTCCTTCCCTGCTGCTCGTGTTCGGCATCGTCTACGTGCAGGTGGGTGCGGTACAGATGGGTGTGGATGGGTGTGCTATATTCCTCCTGCCTGCCTACCTGCATCACAGAGGCGTCTGAGCAGGGGAACGTTACCGGCGAGGCGCTGCTGCTGGGCCTCCTTCCTGCTGCTCGTCCTTGGGATTGTCTACGTGCAGGTGGGTGTGAATGGGTGCAGGTGGGTTCCTGCTCTATGCCTCTCTGCCGGCCTGCTTGCCAGCCTTCTGAGCAGAAGGCGGGGAGTCGCATTCCCAACAACTATGTGCCGCTACCAACCAGCTCCAACTTCCCCCTTCCCTCCGAGTAGGAGGCAGAGTGTCACATCCCCATCAACTACGCATAACGGTACAACCAACCCCATGCACCATCTCACCCTCTACTCTCTTTCTACCCTCTCCTCCCCTTCCCCTCCCACCCTCTACCCTATCCACTACCCCTTTCCCTCCAAGCAGGAAGCAGAGCGGCGTATTCCCGTCAACTATGTGTCTCGATACAACCAATTCAAATTCCCCGTCCTCTTTTCTCCGTTCTTCCCACTCCCCCTACCACCCCCACCACCCCCACCACCACCACAACTTAATCCCTTCCACCGAGCAGGAGGCAGAGCGGCGTATTCCAATCAACTATGCGTCTCGGTACAACATCAAGACGCGGAATGCGTACCTGCCATTCAAGGTAACACCTCCCCCTGAAAGGCAACACCTCCCCCTGAAAGGCAGCACCTCCCTCTGGAAGGTTACACCTCCCCCTGAAAGGCAGCACCTCCCCCTGGAAGGTAACACCTCCCCCTCGAAGGTAGCATCTCTCCCGCGAATGTAACACACCGCTTTCTTTTTCTTGCATCGACCCCTCACTCACTCACCCTTCCCCCCCCCCCCCCACCAACCCCCACACTCAACTCAACAGAAGCCATGCCTCACGTTTACTCCTCTCTTCTCAATTATCTGCCGTTCCTTTCTCTCTCATCTACCCATTCTCTCCAACCACCCCTCTCTCACAACCACCTCTTTTCTCTTATCCAACCTCTAATCCCCCCCGCAGGTCAACTCAACGAAAGTCATGCCAATCGTCTTCTCCTCCTCTCTCCTTTGTCTTTCTTATGTTCCACCCTCTCGGATCAACATCTTTCTCATCTACCCTCTACCCGTCTCTTCCTCTTCCCCCCTCTGCAGGTCAACTCAACGGGAGTCATGCCAATTATCTTCTCTTCCTCGCTCCTCGCTGCTCCCTACTCCATCGCTCGCTTTACCGGAAGTGCTGCTTTCCAGTCCGCTGCTACAGCTCTCTACCCTGGAGGTATGTTACATGGTAACCACAGGTCAGTAATAGGGTAACCAGACTGCTCCTGCTCCCTACTCCATAGCTCGCTTTACCGATCTATCTGCCTGCCAACGTGGCACTGATCGCTTTCTTCAACTACTTCTACACCTTACTGCAAATTTATCACTCTGCTTTTCCGTCATCCTCTCACTCTTTTTACCACCATGTGTTCCACTAATCCCCAGGTCTCCTCTACCCGCCTGCCAACGTGGCACTCATCGCATTCTTCAACTACTTCTACACCTTCCTGCAACTCACTCACTCCTCTCCCTGCTCCCTCTCCCTCCTCCACTCCCTTTGATTTCCCTGCTCCACTCATCCCCAGGTTTCTTCTACCTCCCCGCCAACGTGGCACTGATTGCATTCTTCAACTACTTCCACACCTTCCTGCAACTCACTTACTCGCTCCTTCTCCTTTCTTTCTCCTTGCATCTTCAATCAACATCCTCTCTCCCCATGTGTTCCGCTAATCTCCAGGTTTCTTCTATCTGCCTGCTAACGTGGCACTGTTCGCCTTTCTCAACTACTTCCACACCTTCCTGCAACTCACTTACCTCGCTCCTTCTCCTTCTTTCTCCTTGCATCTTCAATCAACATCCTCTCTCCCCATGTGTTCCGCTAATCTCCAGGTTTCTTCTATCTGCCTGCTAACGTGGCACTGTTCGCCTTTCTCAACTACTTCTACACCTTCCTGCAACTCACTTACTCGCTCCTTCTCCTTTCTTTCTCCTTGCATCTTCAATCAACATCCTCTCTCCCCATGTGTTCCGCTAATCCCCAGGTTTCTTCTACCTCCCCGCCAACGTGGCACTCATTGCCTTCTTCAACTACTTCTACACCTTCCTGCAACTCGACCCTGCTGATGTCAGCGACCAGCTCAAGAGGCAGGGTGCGTCCGTACCCAACACGAGGCCCGGCAAAGCAACAGCCGCACTCATCACCAAGGTGAGTCGCCCTTGTTCACTCATTGTACGTTCGTAAATCCGGCATACGGCCCACTTTCTCAAGAGGCAGGGCGCGTCTGTGGCCTACACCAGGCCTGGCAAGGCAGCAGCCATGCTCATCACCAAGCTCCGTTTGGCCTCGCAAACACTCCATGATGACTCCTGGCCGGCTCCCTCTCAGCCCTTTCCCCACTCGTGTTTCCTTTCCCTCTTTGGCTTCTCCTTCCCCCTCCCATCCCCTTCTCCCTTTCTCCCCATTACTCTTGCTTCTTTACCTACTTAACACCAGGTCCTCACCCGCATTTCGGTGCTCGGGTCGGCGTTTCTCGGCACGATGGCAGCAGCGCCGGCTCTTGTGGAAGGAATCACTCACCTCACGGCCTTCCGGGGGTTTGCTGGAACGTCCATCCTCATTTTAGTCGGATGCGCTACCGATACAGCCAGGAAGGTGCAGGCGGAGCTGGTTTCGCAGAAGTATAGGACGATTGAGCTGGATGATATCAGTGCGGGTGGTGGAGGGATTCCGCCTCCTAGGTGAATGCTGAGGCTGGATATTTAGAGTAGAGCAGCATCGGTGTGCACAAGGTATCGTATAAAGTACCTTGTGGCTTCGTGTTGATGTGAAACTAGGTTCAAGCAACTGCATGATAGAGTGTTACACACTTGCATCGTGACGACCAAGGTTTCTGTGTTGAATGACATCAATGTCAAGCGCATGGAGTGGTGCGTTACTGAATTAGATTGCTTCAAGCTTTTGAGTCTCTGTGTTTGTATCGGGCCATCGCTTGGTTGGCACGATTGCAGGCCAGGCCCTGTTGCGTGTCGATTTGAGATGGTGTCATTATCTGCAACGTCAGTCTTTTCATCAACTCCACAATGAGTGTGACACAAGGAAGCATCTTCCTGACACATCCCTGATACATCCAATCGTGTTTACCGCGTACAGACGAAGCCGGAACACGCCCCTCGCAGATGCCCCTTTCTCGTAGGTTAGCCAGGAGTAGTAAACTATCTACAAATTAGCTACGGTAGTTAGGATTTGGTTGACTAGGAATTACGGCAGCTAGCTAGGGATTAGCTTGCTAGGATGTGGCTGGCTAGGAACTAGTTACCAGCTATGATTTGGCTGGCTAGGAATTAACTAGCTACTAGCTAGGAAATAGCAAGCTAGGAATTGGCTAGGAGTTAGCAAGGAGTTGGCAGGCCAGAAATTGGCTAGCTAGGAATTGGCAAGGCCAGGCTATAACTAGCCAGGAATTAGGTAGCTAGCAAATAGATAGCTAAAAAATAGGTAGCTAGGAACTAGCTAGCCTAAGATTTTGCTGCAGATGTACCAACCAACACCAGGGTCAGCCCACTTGTTTTCTGGAATATTTGCTTATAACAATGCATGCATCGTGAAGGAAAACATAAACCAGGAAAATGCAAACTTACATTCTTATCAATCTATTCCATGTACATGGGAATAGATTGATAAGAAAGTAAGTTTGCAGGCACCAGGCGGATCGCGCAGCGCGCCAGCGCTGCACCAATGACTGTATATTGGATTGTACATCATCCGAGTCTCGTTTCTGTCACTTCCCAGGACCGCGCTAGCTGGCATGGCTTGTGCTGTTTGATTGGACCGGTGGGATGTTTCGCGACTTGTGTTTAGCGACTTGATTTGGATTGGAGGCTTGTGTTGTGCTCCGCGACTTGGTTTGCAATGTGTGTGAATTCTGAGATTTGGTCCCCACCATCGTTTTTTTGGTGCAGGGCAGGTGGATTCTAGGTGTACACTCTTATTTTCGTTTTAGGTTTACATGTTCCAGGGTGAGGAGTGTTCCTTTTTTGTATGAAGAGTTGCAATTCGTTTCTGTTTTGGTGACCGAGGCGAGGGTGCTGGTCATTTCGCGCTACAGTGGCGAGAGTCAACAAAATCTGCTTGCTTGCTCTCCTCTCCAACTCCTCTCCCGATCTCCTCCACTCCTCCTTCCTTGCTTCTCTCCCAATCCCATCCCCATCCCATTTCGATCTCCAACTCCATTATTTTCCACGTTACTTTCCATAGCTCCGCTCCCCCCGATCCACTCATTCTCTCCCATATCGGTCGCAGCTCATCTCCTAATTTCGTCTCCCACGTTAGTCTCCGTTTTTTCCGCTCCTCCCGATCTCCATTCCTTTCTCTCCCATCTCGATCAGTGGTCTTAAATGCCTTCCCCACGTTAGACTTCGAATTCCTTCCCCCATGGGATTCAACATAGGCGGCGGATCCCTCCCGCACTGTGGGAGGGCCCTTATTCCTCCCTCCAGCAGGTGCGCACTGTCACTGCATGTGCGCACGCTGAAATTTCATGAGCACGCGATTGCATGTGCGCCATGCGACTGCATGTGTGCCATGCGCCATGCAAAATCCGTTTTGTTCTACTGTTTTATTACTTTATTTCGTTTTGTCCTCTTTATCTGTTTTCTCCCTGGAATTCCCGTTATGTTTCCCATTTCTCTCCTACGTGAGCATTCTTTCCAAACAGTTCACTTCAGTCCTCAACCCCTCTTGCCTTTCTTGGTTTCTCGTTGCCTCTCTCCCTCCGTCCCTTCCTCCGCTCTCCCTCTGCCCTCCCTCCCCTTGCTGTGCAGGGACGACAGGCTCCAGCGTAGCAGCGCCTACCCGCCGCCGCTCCACCCGCCGTGACGGCGCCCACCGCGCTCACCAGGTAGCGCCGCGCGCGCTGCTGGCAGCGCGGACAGCACCGGCGAGCATGCTGCACGCGGAGCAGGTCAGCGCGCCGTTCCCCCCTTTTCCCATGCCTTTCCGCCTTGCGCATGCATGTCCGCCTTTCCCCTGCCTTTCCGCCTTGCCCATGCATTTCCGCCTTCCCCATGCCTTTCCGCCTTCCCCATGCCTTTCCGCCTTGCGCATGCTTTCCGCCTTGCGCATGCCTTTCCGCCTTGCCGCATGCCTTTCCGCCTTTCCATGCATTCCCGCCTTGCGCATGCCTTTCCCCCTCTGCTCATGCCGTTCTCCCTGCCCATGCCTTTTCCCCCTCTGCTCATGCCGTTCTCCCTGCCCATGCCTTTCCCCCTCTGCTCATGCGTTGCCCCCTTTGCCCATGCTTTGCCCCGTTTGCTCGTGCCGTCCGTTCCGCCATGTCAGGGAGATGGCGGGGGAGGGAGTCGCCACCTCCATCGAGCTCACCAACTGCCGGCCACGACATGGTGAGTGTGTTGGGTGGGGTGGGGTGGTGTGCGGTGCAGGGGGGAAATGCGCATGGAGGTGGGGGGGAATGAGCTTTGCTTGCTTATGCTGCGGCTCTTATTGCAGTGCTTGCTGCTATCATCACCCCCCTGCCCTGCCCCTCATAGCACCTCCCCTGACCCGCATTCCTCTTCTCCTCTCGTCCTCCTCTCTCTCCCGCCCCTCCCCCCCGTGGACCTTGCACAGGTGCCACTACGAATTGCAGGTGCGATAAAGATTCCCCGTACCGTAGTAATGTCTAGAAATGTTCACAAAAAATGCATCAAACTTACTTAGGTGCTGTTTAGGATTATGTTATGTTTCTGTGGTAGATAATGTTAGGTGGTGTTTGTTGGTTATGGTAGGTATTGAGGCCCGGGGCAGAGATGTGAGGCCCGGGGCAGAGATGTGAGGCCCGGGGCAGGAGATGTGAGGCCCGGGGCAGAGATGTGAGGCCCGGGGCAGAGACTGTGAGGCCCGGGGCAGAGACGTGAGGCCCGGGCAGAGATGTGAGGCCCGGGCAGAGATGTGAGGCCCGGGCAGAGACGTGAGGCCCGGGGCAGAGATGTGAGGCCCGGGGCAGAGACGTGAGGCCCGGGGCAGAGACGTGAGGCAGCCCATACCCGAACCGGACCCAGGCCCTACCTCAACCCAGGTCCTGCTGACGTGGCAACAAGTGCTGACGTGGCATGCTCTCTTGACAGGAGGCTGGCCATGCTGCCCTGAACTTGGTTATAGTCACGCCGACCGCGAGTCGAGTCGCCTTCATTACAGTCAATCCCGGGTCGAGTCGCATTCATTACAGTCACCCCCGAGTCGATTCGCCTTCATTGCAGTCACCCCCGAGTCGAGTCGCCTTCATTGCAGTCACCCCCCGAGTCGAGTCGCCTTCATTGCAGTCAACCCCCGAGTCGAGTCGCCTTCATTGCAGTAACCCCCGGGTCGAGTCGCCTTCATTACAGCCACCTTCATTACAGTCACAGTCACAAAGCCTGGTTGGCTGATTCTAGCTTGAATTTGAGAGAATATTCCGTGATTCTTGATTGTGATATTATTTCAATACATACATCAGAATGTTATTCCTTTCCTCCCACCCTCCCGTCCCCCCTGTCCCCTCTCCCCCACCCTCCATCCCCCCCCGGGTGGGGGGGAGGGGGGGGGGACTTGGGGGACTTGGGGGGGCGAGGGAAAAAAAAAAAGACTAAACCGAATTCCCTCTTCCTTTTTTCCTCCCCTGCTTCAATCTCTCCCTCATCCTCCTCCCCGCCTTCCCACTATATCTCTCTGCCTTTCTCTGCTTGTTCTCCCTCCTCTTTCTCCCCCCTCTGCCTCCCGTTTCCACCTCTCCCCTGACCTGACCCGCACCACCTTTCCAGTGGAGGACAGCAAGATCGACATCGGCGACTTTTTCAAGGGCGATTTACCCAAGAAATTCCTCATGCTCCTGGGTCTGCTCGCGCTATCCCGCGTGGGAATCTACATTCCCCTGTGGGGCGTCGATATCTCCGCCTTCCAGGAGCAACTGGGGGAGGGCTCATTCCTGGCCACCCTAGACACGCTCTCAGGGGCGGGATTGGACGGCTGGGATTGTTTTCGCTGGGCATCGTGCCGTATATCAACGCTCAGATCGTGTTCCAGCTGCTGGGGAGCCTGCTACCCTAAGATTGCGGGATCTGCAGAAGAAGGAGGGGGAGGCGGGGGAGGAAGAAAGCGCAGCAGTACATGAAGTATATGGCTGTGGCGTTCGGTGCCCTGCAGGTACGTTACCTGATTTCATTACATTCTTCTTGTCTTTACTAGATTACGAGCGCCTCGGGTCCGTAGCAGTCCATCGTGCGGGGAGACAAGATCACCCGACCCACCTCAAGCTCTCCTTCTCCCTGCCCCCCTCCACTGCCAACAGGCTATCGGCCAAGTGGCCCTACCCCTCCTAGCAGTACGCATACGACCACTCAGTCGCCCCTCCTCAACCCAAACCCCACCGGCTTCCCACCCTATTCTTCCCACTCTCCACTCCCAGGCCATAGGCCAAGTGGCCTACCTCCAGTTGTACGCATACGACCCCTCAGTCGCCCCACTGCGGGGAGACAAGATCACCGACCCACCTCAAGCTCTCCTTCTCCCTGCCCCCCTCCACTCCCCAGGCTATCGGCCAAGTGGCCTACCTGCAGCAGTACGCATACGACCCATCAGTCGCTTGGGCAGTCTCAGCCGTCTCAGGCCTGACTGTCGGATCCGTGGCAGTCATCCTCCTGGGAGACAGGATCACCCACCTCAAGCTCTCCCTTCCTCCCTGCCTCTCGCCCTCCTCCCAGGCAATCGGACAGGTGGCATATCTGCAGCAGTACGCCTACGACCCCTCGGTCGCCTGGGCAGTCTCAGCCGTCTCAGGCCTGACTGTCGGATCCGTGGCAGTCATCCTCCTGGGAGACAGGATCACCCACCTCAAGCTCTCCCTTCCTCCCTGCCTCTCGCCCTCCTCCCAGGCTATCGGACAGGTGGCATATCTACAGCAGTACGCCTACGACCCGTCGGTCGCCTGGGCAGTCTCCGCCGTCTCGGGCCTCACTTTGGGATCCGTGGCAGTCATCCTGCTGGGAGACAAGATCACTGATCTCAAGCTCGGCAACGGCACCTCTCTGCTCATCTTCACCAATATCGTTTCCTACCTGCCGGCGTCCATTGGGAGGACGATCACAGAGGCTTCTGAACAAGGGAATGTGACCGGAGAGGCGCTGCTGCTCGCGTCCTTCCTGCTGCTCGTGTTCGGCATCGTCTACGTGCAGGTGGGTGCGGTACAGATGGGTGTGGATGGGTGTGCTATATTCCTCCTGCCTGCCTACCTGCATCACAGAGGCGTCTGAGCAGGGGAACGTTACCGGCGAGGCGCTGCTGCTGGCCTCCTTCCTGCTGCTCGTCCTTGGGATTGTCTACGTGCAGGTGGGTGTGAATGGGTGCAGGTGGGTTCCTGCTCTATGCCTCTCTGCCGGCCTGCCTGCCAGCCTTCTGAGCAGAAGGCGGGGAGTCGCATTCCCAACAACTATGTGCCGCTACAACCAGCTCCAACTTCCCCCTTCCCTCCGAGTAGGAGGCAGAGTGTCACATCCCCATCAACTACGCATAACGGTACAACCAACCCCATGCACCATCTCACCCTCTACTCTCTTTCTACCCTCTCCTCCCCTTCCCCTCCCACCCTCTACCCCATACCCCACTACCCCTTTCCCTCCAAGCAGGAAGCAGAGCGGCGTATTCCCGTCAACTATGTGTCTCGATACAACCAATTCAAATTCCCCGTCCTCTTTTCTCCGTTCTTCCCACTCCCCCTACCACCCCCACCACCACCCCACCACCACCACAACTTAATCCCTTCCACCGAGCAGGAGGCAGAGCGGCGTATTCCAATCAACTATGCGTCTCGGTACAACATCAAGACGCGGAATGCGTACCTGCCATTCAAGGTAACACCTCCCCCTGAAAGGCAACACCTCCCCCTGAAAGGCAGCACCTCCCTCTGGAAGGTTACACCTCCCCCTGAAAGGCAGCACCTCCCCCTGGAAGGTAACACCTCCCCCTCGAAGGTAGCATCTCTCCCGCGAATGTAACACACCGCTTTCTTTTTCTTGCATCGACCCCTCACTCACTCACCCCCCCCCCCCCCCCCCCCCACCACCCCCACACTCAACTCAACAGAAGCCATGCCTCACGTTTACTCCTCTCTTCTCAATTATCTGCCGTTCCTTTCTCTCTCATCTACCCATTCTCTCCAACCACCCCTCTCTCACAACCACCTCTTTTCTCTTATCCAACCTCTAATCCCCCCCGCAGGTCAACTCAACGAAAGTCATGCCAATCGTCTTCTCCTCCTCTCTCCTTTGTCTTTCTTATGTTCCACCCTCTCGGATCAACATCTTTCTCATCTACCCTCTACCCGTCTCTTCCTCTTCCCCCCTCTGCAGGTCAACTCAACGGGAGTCATGCCAATTATCTTCTCTTCCTCGCTCCTCGCTGCTCCCCTACTCCATCGCTCGCTTTACCGGAAGTGCTGCTTTCCAGTCCGCTGCTACAGCTCTCTACCCTGGAGGTATGTTACATGGTAACCACAGGTCAGTAATAGGGTAACCAGACTGCTCCTGCTCCCTACTCCATAGCTCGCTTTACCGATCTATCTGCCTGCCAACGTGGCACTGATCGCTTTCTTCAACTACTTCTACACCTTACTGCAAATTTATCACTCTGCTTTTCTTTCCGTCATCCTCTCACTCTTTTTACCACCATGTGTTCCACTAATCCCCAGGTCTCCTCTATCCCCTCCCTCTCCCGCATCCTGCCAACGTGGCACTCATCGCATTCTTCAACTACTTCTACACCCTTCCTGCAACTCCTCACTCCTCTCCCTGCCTGCTCCCTCTCCTCCTTTCTCTCACTCCACTTATGATTTCCCCTGCTCCACCTGCATGCTCCCATCTCTCCAGGTTCTTCTATCCTCCCCGCCTAACTGTGGCACTGATTGCATTTTCAACTACTTCCACTTCCTTCCTGCAACTCACTTACTCGCTCCTTCTCCTTTCTTTCTCCTTGCATCTTCAATCAACATCCTCTCTCCCCATGTGTTCCGCTAATCTCCAGGTTTCTTCTATCTGCCTGCTAACGTGGCACTGTTCGCCTTTCTCAACTACTTCTACACCTCCTGCAACTCACTTACTCGCTCCTTCTCCTTTCTTTCTCCTTGCATCTTCAATCAACATCCTCTCTCCCCATGTGTTCCGCTAATCCCCAGGTTTCTTCTACCTCCCCGCCAACGTGGCACTCATTGCCTTCTTCAACTACTTCTACACCTTCCTGCAACTCGACCCTGCTGATGTCAGCGACCAGCTCAGAGGCAGGGTGCGTCCGTACCCAACACGAGGCCCGGCAAAGCAACAGCCGCACTCATCACCAAGGTGAGTCGCCCTTGTTCACTCATTTTGTACGTTCGTAAATCCGGCATACCGGCCCACTTTCTCAAGAGGCAGGGCGCGTCTGTGGCCTACACCAGGCCTGGCAAGGCAGCAGCCATGCTCATCACCAAGCTCCGTTTGGCCTCGCAAACACTCCATGATGACTCCTGGCCGGCTCCCTCTCAGCCCTTTCCCCACTCGTGTTTCCTTTCCCTCTTTGGCTTCTCCTTCCCCCTCCCATCCCCTTCTCCCTTTCTCCCCATTACTCTTGCTTCTTTAACTACTTAACACCAGGTCCTCACCCGCATTTCGGTGCTCGGGTCGGCGTTTCTCGGCACGATGGCAGCAGCGCCGGCTCTTGTGGAAGGAATCACTCACCTCACGGCCTTCCGGGGGTTTGCTGGAACGTCCATCCTCATTTTAGTCGGATGCGCTACCGATACAGCCAGGAAGGTGCAGGCGGAGCTGGTTTCGCAGAAGTATAGGACGATTGAGCTGGATGATATCAGTGCGGGTGGTGGAGGGATTCCGCCTCCTAGGTGAATGCTGAGGCTGGATATTTAGAGTAGAGCAGCATCGGTGTGCACAAGGTATCGTATAAAGTACCTTGTGGCTTCGTGTTGATGTGAAACTAGGTTCAAGCAACTGCATGATAGAGTGTTACACACTTGCATCGTGACGACCAAGGTTTCTGTGTTGAATGACATCAATGTCAAGCGCATGGAGTGGTGCGTTACTGAATTAGATTGCTTCAAGCTTTTGAGTCTCTGTGTTTGTATCGGGCCATCGCTTGGTTGGCACGATTGCAGGCCAGGCCCTGTTGCGTGTCGATTTGAGATGGTGTCATTATCTGCAACGTCAGTCTTTTCATCAACTCCACAATGAGTGTGACACAAGGAAGCATCTTCCTGACACATCCCTGATACATCCAATCGTGTTTACCGCGTACAGACGAAGCCGGAACACGCCCTCGGCAGATGCCCCTTTCTCGTAGGTTAGCCAGGAGTAGTAAACTATCTACAAATTAGCTACGGTAGTTAGGATTTGGTTGACTAGGAATTACGGCAGCTAGCTAGGGATTAGCTTGCTAGGATTGGCTGGCTAGGAACTAGTTACCAGCTATGATTTGGCTGGCTAGGAATTAACTAGCTACTAGCTAGGAAATAGCAAGCTAGGAATTGGCTAGGAGTTAGCAAGGAGTTGGCAGGCCAGAAATTGGCTAGCTAGGAATTGGCAAGGCCAGGCTATAACTAGCCAGGAATTAGGTAGCTAGCAAATAGATAGCTAAAAATAGGTAGCTAGGAACTAGCTAGCCTAAGATTTTGCTGCAGATGTACCAACCAACACCAGGGTCAGCCCACTTGTTTTCTGGAATATTTGCTTATAACAATGCATGCATCGTGAAGGAAAACATAAACCAGGAAAATGCAAACTTACATTCTTATCAATCTATTCCCATGTACATGGGAATAGATTGATAGAAAAGTAAGTTTGCAGGCACCAGGCGGATCGCGCAGCGCGCCAGCGCTGCACAATGACTGTATATTGGATTGTACATCATCCGAGTCTCGTTTCTGTCACTTCCCAGACCGCGCTAGCTGGCATGGCTTGTGCTGTTTGATTGGACCGGTGGGATGTTTCGCGACTTGTGTTTAGCGACTTGATTTGGATTGGAGGCTTGTGTTGTGCTCCGCGACTTGGTTTGCAATGTGTGTGAATTCTGAGATTTGGTCCCCACCATCGTTTTTTTGGTGCAGGGCAGGTGGATTCTAGGTGTACACTCTTATTTTCGTTTTAGGTTTACATGTTCCAGGGTGAGGAGTGTTCCTTTTTTGTATGAAGAGTTGCAATTCGTTTCTGTTTTGGTGACCGAGGCGAGGGTGCTGGTCATTTCGCGCTACAGTGGCGAGAGTCAACAAAATCTGCTTGCTTGCTTGCTCTCCTCTCCAACTCCTCTCCCGATCTCCTCCACTCCTCCTTCCTTGCTTCTCTCCCAATCCCATCCCCATCCCATTTCGATCTCAACTCCATTATTTTCCACGTTACTTTCCATAGCTCCGCTCTCCCGATCCACTCATTCTCTCCCATATCGGTCGCAGCTCATCTCCTAATTTCGTCTCCCACGTTAGTCTCTCCGTTTTCTCTCCGCTCTCCCGATCTCCATTCCTTCTCTCCCATCTCGATCAGTGGTCTTAAATGCCTTCCCCACGTTAGACTTCGAATTCCTTCCCCCATGGGATTCAACATAGGCGGCGGATCCCTCCCGCACTGTGGGAGGGCCCTTATTCCTCCCTCCAGCAGGTGCGCACTGTCACTGCATGTGCGCACGCTGAAATTTCATGAGCACGCGATTGCATGTGCGCCATGCGACTGCATGTGTGCCATGCGCCATGCAAAATCCGTTTTGTTCTACTGTTTTATTACTTTATTTCGTTTTGTCCTCTTTATCTGTTTTCTCCCTGGAATTCCCGTTATGTTTCCCATTTCTCTCCTACGTGAGCATTCTTTCCAAACAGTTCACTTCAGTCCTCAACCCCTCTTGCCTTTCTTGGTTTCTCGTTGCTCTCTTCCCTCCGTCCCTTCCTCCGCTCTCCCTCTGCCCCTCCCTCCCCTTGCTGTGCAGGGACGACAGGCTCCAGCGTAGCAGCGCCTACCCGCCGCCGCCGCCCACCCGCCGTGACGGCGCCCACCGCGCTCACCAGGTAGCGCCGCGCGCGCTGCTGGCCGCGCGGACAGCACCGGCGAGCATGCTGCACGCGGAGCAGGTCAGCGCGCCGTTCCCCCTTTTCCCATGCCTTTCCGCCTTGCGCATGCATGTCCGCCTTTCCCTGCCTTTCCGCCTTGCCCATGCATTTCCGCCTTCCCCATGCCTTTCCGCCTTCCCCATGCCTTTCCGCCTGCGCCGCCTTTCCGCCTTGCGCATGCCTTTCCGCCTTGCGCATGCCTTTCGCCTTGCGCATGCCTTTCCGCTTTCCCATGCATTCCCGCCTTGCGCATGCCTTTCCCCCTCTGCTCATGCCGTTCTCCCTGCCCATGCCTTTCCCCCTCTGCTCATGCCGTTCTCCTGCCCATGCCTTTCCCCCTCTGCTCATGCGTTGCCCCCTTTGCCCATGCTTTGCCCCGTTTGCTCGTGCCGTCCGTTCCGCCATGTCAGGGAGATGGCGGGGGGGGAGTCGCCACCTCCATCGAGCTCACCACTGCCGGCCACGACATGGTGAGTGTGTTGGGTGGGGTGGGGTGGTGTGCGGTGCAGGGGGGAAATGCGCATGGAGGTGGGGGGAATGAGCTTTGCTTGCTTATGCTGCGGCTCTTATTGCAGTGCTTGCTGCTATCATCACCCCCCTGCCCTGCCCCTCATAGCACCTCCCCTGACCCGCATTTCCTCTTCTCCTCTCGTCCTCCTCTCTCTCCCGCCCCTCCCCCCCGTGGACCTTGCACAGGTGCCACTACGAATTGCAGGTGCGATAAAGATTCCCCGTACCGTAGTAATGTCTAGAAATGTTCACAAAAAATGCATCAAACTTACTTAGGTGCTGTTTAGGATTATGTTATGTTTCTGTGGTAGATAATGTTAGGTGGTGTTTGTTGGTTATGGTAGGTATTGAGGCCCGGGGCAGAGATGTGAGGCCCGGGCAGAGATGTGAGCCCGGGGCAGAGATGTGAGGCCCGGGGCAGAGATGTGAGGCCCGGGGCAGAGACGTGAGGCCCGGGCAGAGATGTGAGGCCCGGGGCAGAGATGGAGGCCCGGGGCAGAGACGTGGCCCGGGGCAGAGATGTGAGGCCCGGGGCAGAGACGTGAGGCCCGGGGCAGAGACGTGAGGCAGCCCATACCCGAACCGGACCCAGGCCCTACCTCAACCCAGGTCCTGCTGACGTGGCAACAAGTGCTGACGTGGCATGCTCTCTTGACAGAGGCTGGCCATGCCGCCCTGAACTTGGTTATAGTCACGCCGACCGCGAGTCGAGTCGCCTTCATTACAGTCAATCCCGGGTCGAGTCGCATTCATTACAGTCACCCACCCGAGTCGAGTCGCCTTCATTGCAGTCACCCCCCGAGTCGAGTCGCCTTCATTGCAGTCACCCCCGAGTCGAGTCGCCTTCATTGCAGTACACCCCGGGTCGAGTCGCCTTCATTACAGCCACCTTCATTACAGTCACAGTCACAACAGCCTGGTTGCTGATTCTATTCTAGCTTGAATTTGAGAGAATATTCCGTGATTCTTGATTGTGATATTATTTCAATACATACATCAGAATGTTATTCCTTTCCTCCCACCCTCCCGTCCCCCCTGTCCCCTCTCCCCCACCCTCCATCCCCCCCCGGGTGGGGGGGGGGGGAGGGGGGGGGGGACTTGGGGGACTTGGGGGGGCAAGGGGGGCGAGGGAAAAAAAAAAGACTAAACCGAATTCCCTCTTCCTTTTTTCCTCCCCTGCTTCAATCTCTCCCTCATCCCTCCTCCCCGCCTTCCCACTATATCTCTCTGCCTTTCTCTGCCTTGTTCTCCCTCCTCTTTCTCCCCTCTGCCTCCCGTTTCCACCTCTCCCCTGACCTGACCCGCACCACCTTTCCAGTGGAGGACAGCAAGATCGACATCGGCGACTTTTTCAAGGGCGATTTACCCAAGAAATTCCTCATGCTCCTGGGTCTGCTCGCGCTATCCCGCGTGGGAATCTACATTCCCCTGTGGGGCGTCGATATCTCCGCCTTCCAGGAGCAACTGGGGGAGGGCTCATTCCTGGCCACCCTAGACACGCTCTCAGGGGGCGGGATTGGACGGCTGGGATTGTTTTCGCTGGGCATCGTGCCGTATATCAACGCTCAGATCGTGTTCCAGCTGGTGGGACGCTGTACCCTAAGATTGGGGATCTGCAGAAGAAGGAGGGGGAGGCGGGGAGGAAGAAAGCAGCGCAGGTAGCAGGACATGAAGTATATGCTGTGGCGTTCGGTGCCCTGCAGGTACGTTACCTGATTTCATTACATTCTTCTTGTCTTTACTAGATTACGAGCGCCTCGGGTCCGTAGCAGTCATCGTGCGGGGAGACAAGATCACCGACCACACCTCAAGCTCTCCTTCTCCCTGCCCCCCTCCACTGCCAACAGGCTATCGGTCCAAGTGGCCTACTCCAGCAGTACGCATACGACCACGAAGTCGCCCCCTCCTCAACCCAACCCCACCGCTTCCCACCCTATTCTTCCCTCCTCCACTCCCCAGGCCATAGGCAAGTGGCCTACCTCCAGTTGTACGCATAACGACCCCTCAGTCGCCCCACTGCGGGAGAGTACAAGATCAACCGACCCACCTCAAGCTCTCCTTCTCCCCTGCCCCCCTCCACTCCCCAGGCTATCGGCCAAGTGGCCTACCTGCAGCAGTACGCATACGACCCATCAGTCGCTTGGGCAGTCTCAGCCGTCTCAGGCCTGACTGTCGGATCCGTGGCAGTCATCCTCCTGGGAGACAGGATCACCCACCTCAAGCTCTCCCTTCCTCCCTGCC